CAATAATTTTACATTATAATAACAATTTTACCTCTTTGGCAGTTTGACAGTTTCCACAGATGTAAAAAATGAAGAAAATATAGAAAAGCATCTCACTCCTCTGCAGAGAATCAGCCAGCTGATCCTGCTTCTTTCTTCTCAGGAAGCTCAGTGTGAGTCTCAGAAATGTGTCACCATCGCTGATCTCATCTTTTTTATCAGCCGTTGATTCATAATCTTCTCTCATAATCTTCTTTTTTTGTGTGCCTTCTGGACATTTTTGACTCAGAAATTTCTTGAATTTTTGTAGCTCATTTTTCATAAAAGTAACAATTTCCTCCTCAAGCATCTACAAAATGCAGAGTAACATTTTTCATTTTAAAGAGTGTTTTTTAGAGGCAATCACAAAGTTGCAGTATACAGTGTATTTCTTGGGAACATCTCATGATCATGATGTGACCAACACCATTACAGGCTACTCAAAATACCACAAAATTAGTTCGGGATGCCTGGCTGCTGTCTTAATGTTGCATAATCCCACCAAATCCCAATTCTTCCATGAGCATAAGATCAATAGTCAAAGTTGTCTTGATGCATGCTCAATCATCCAGGAAAGTAAATCTCCAAAAGTTGATTCTGTTCATCTGGATGTAGCGTTTTGTGGGAGAAACATTTCGTCACTCATCCAAGTGACTTCTTCAGTCTCAGCTGATTGCAGGTTTCCCCAATCTTATAAACAGTACATTTGCATAAATGTCTCGGTGTCTGGTGTTTCCAGGCCAGCCGAGTTGGGAGCAGGCCAGAGTTGGGAGGTCGCCTTGTAATGGGAAGGTTGCCGGTTCAAGCCCTGGCTCCGACAGTCTCGGCCGTTGTGTCCTTGGGCAAGACGCTTCACCCTTGCCTACTGGTGGTCAGAGGGGCCCGGTGGCGCCAGTGTCCGGCAGCCTCGCCTCTCTCAGTGCGCTCCAGGGTGGCTGTGGCTACAATGCAGCTTGCCATCACCAGTGTGTGAATGTGTGACTGGATGTGTAAAGTGCTTTGGGGTCCTTAGGGACTAGTAAAGCGCTATACAAATACAGGCCATTTAACCATATTTTTTTTTAACATCACCAACTGCTTTTATCTCCTAAATAGCCTTGTTGTACTCGATCATGTGTTTTTGCCTTAAGCAGTGAAACAGGTTTATTGTTTTCACATTCAGCAGGTGCAGGTTTCTTGCAGATTTTGAAAAGTGTTGCACTTTGGAGGTTGTTGAAGTGGATCTCTTTTCAGGTCTAATTTGTTGTTGCTGACAGACACTGAGAAAAACCAAAGTCTGTCTACAAGCAACCCAGACATGGTTCGGTAAGTCTCAGCGTTGTGCACACTATGGAATGCATGGCACTGCTATAGCAATGACATGACATAAATACATTTTTATATCACATAAAAAATATTTTTATTCTGGACAACATGTACACATGTACACATGACACAACCGTAGTTTGAACTGTGCTCTCAGTAAACAGTATGTTCATGTATGTTCATGAAAGGACCTGGATGACTAAGAACCTTCACAGACAAACTGTGTCACACAACCAACACTGACACTGAGTTTACAACTTATTGTTTCTGACTTTTTAAAGTATTTTTTTATTTTATTTTACTGCACAACTTTTTTCTATGAACGACTGGCTTTAACAGTTTGTCTTAATGGATACAGTGACTGGAAAGGCATTCATCACACTTAATCCACTGTTTCACTCAAAGTAACACAAAGGCAAAACTTCTGTTATAAGTGTCACATTTTCTTTCTTTTAAGAATAAATACATAGTTCAAAGTCTCATCAACTTTGAACTTTCCTTCTCCTGACCTCAACTTGGGTAATTTAAACTAAAGTAGAAAAGCAAGAGGGATAAAATGTCTCTGTGATTTTATATTTTATATTCTATCGTTATCATATTTAATATCATGTAGAAAACTGATTACTGAGATAAAAAGCAAGCTGACATCATTATGACGTTATTTTTTTAGAGAATTATTACAAAACTAAAACTTTTAAATACCAAACTTTAAATTGTCATTAAACACACACATATATCTAAAATGTGAAAATATCTCAGTCTTAGGTTAGTGAAGTCAGTGTTGTGCCTTGTAAGTGTTTTGTAACAAACAAAGGAGCTTGCAAAGAAAAGCGTCTGGACTTCTATAAGTTACTTGAAGACGTTTCACCTCTCATCCGAGAAGCTTCTTCAGTTCTAAGGTCAAATGGTGGAGAGTCCCAGATATAAACCTAGTGGGAGTATCCCCCCACAGAGGGACAAAAGGACCCCCTGATGATCCTTTAATCGCCTGAGCCAAGGTGTGAAACTGGGTGTGGGTCCCAATCAGTCAGAGTTTCGGGTGTGTTCATTGTGAAACCTGGCCCCACCTTATCATGCGAATTCCTGAGGTCAGATGGCCCAGGATGTGAGTGGGCGTTAAGGCGTCTGGGAAGGGATCTCAAAACTGGATTATAGATGGCAGAGAGTTGGTGTCGTAAACCCCCGCCTCTGTTCAAAGATGGTCGCTCACAGTGGACATAGATGGCTTCTTTCACTCCTCTTTCAAACCATCTGTCCTCTCTGTCCAAAATGTGAACATTGGCATCCTCAAAAGAGTGTCCTTTATCCTTAAGATGCAGATGAACTGCTGAGTCTTGTCCTGTGGAGGTGGCTCTTCTGTGTTGTGCCATGCGCTTGTGAAGTGGCTGTTTGGTCTCTCCAATGTAGAGGTCTGAGCATTCCTCGCTGCACTGTACAGCATACACCACATTGTTAAGTCTGTGTTTTGGCGTTTTGTCTTTCGGGTGAACCAGTTTCTGTCTGAGCGTGTTGCTGGGTCTGAAATACACTGGGATGTCATGCTTGAAGAAAACTCTCCTGAGTTTCTCTGATACACCGGCTACATAGGGGATGACAATGTTGTTGCGTCTGTCTTTCTTATCCTCCCTCGCTGGTGTCTGATCTTCTTTTCTGTGCCTCTTTGCTGACTTTAAGAACGCCCATTTAGGATAGCCGCACGTTTTGAGTGCTTCCTTTACATGTGTGTGTTCCTTCTTTTTTCCTTCAGGCTTAGAGGGAACATGTTCTGCCCGGTGGTGTAGGGTCCTAATTACTCCAAGTTTGTGTTCCAGAGGGTGATGGGAGTCAAAGAGGAGGTACTGGTCCGTGTTTGTGGGCTTCCGGTAAACTTCGATGTTGAGGTTGCTGTTCTCTTCAATGTGCACAGCGCAGTTCAGGAAAGGCAAACAGTTGTCCTTTGTGTCTTCCCTGGTGAACTTGATGTTTTTATCCACAGCGTTAATGTGAAGGATTCCACTTCTTGTGTCTTGATTTTGACCCAGGTGTCGTCCACATATCTGTACCAGTGGCTGGGTACTCTTCCTTTGAAGGAGTCAAGAGCCTTCCTTTCCACTTCCTCCATGTAAAGGTTGGCTACAATAGGTGACACGGGGGAGCCCATGGCACAGCCATGTTTTTGTCTGTAAAATAGCAGAAGACTGCCTTCGATAAACAGTTGCCATGCAGGTTTAGTATGTTTCCTTTAAGTGACACAGTTCAAATGACAATTACTTCCTAGAATTAAAAAAGTAGATTTGTTATGTTATATGTTGTTGTCCATTGCTTTCTTTCAGTTTAGTAATCTAGTATGGTCACTTTTCACGGACACGCAGCTGGGTAAGGACGGTCACTCAGCTTCAACACATTACAAACATTCAACATTTCAGGCCATGAAATAAGTGTTTTGACAACTCTCAGTGCTCATCAGTAAAATCATATGATAATATGTTTAGGGCATGTTTTAATTCTCACATTTGTGGATCAGACTGGTCTCCAGCCTGGAATGCTATTGGTTCCATTCTAGACCTCCTTATGGTCACACAGGTGGGGGCTGGTGATTCTGGTCTCTCCTGGTTCACTTGGCTTCAACACATGATAAACATTCAACATTCAGACAACAGGCTACGATTTACTAAATTCAACAAACTTATATGCAATCTTTGTAAAAGTCACAAAATTCTCACATTTGCGGATCAGACTGGTCTCCATTCTTGAATTCAATTGGCTCCATTTTAGACTGATCACTCGTCATGGAAACAACACTCCGTCATGTGACTTAAACATGATACAAACAGGTGAGGTTAATTTTATAGCTTAGCTCTGAGCTTGAAAATAGTCAATAACAGGTAGATCTTACCTATTAGGTGATATCTCGCTGTGATTTTGGTCAAACTGTTCAGATTTAGAGGCAGAAACACCATCCACATTTTTCAAAGATGCAAAATGAGCCATCCTAGTGATTCCAGTGAGAGCGAGTGTCTGCTGCATTCTCTACGCTCTTGCAAGCAACTCCCTCTCTGCTTGTACACTGTACTATGCTCACAGTCTGTTTGGCAGGTTGGAGGGTGGTAAAAAGCAAGCGAATAATGCAGGAAACTGAGATTTGAAATGGGAAACTGTTCTTGAAGTACACTGAGGGAGAGAGAGAGAGAGCTGTGCAGGAAAAGTGATTTCATCGTGGTGGAAGCAAAACCGAAAAAGTCAGGGAATTCATGATGATGTTTATGTGAAGTGAAATGTGAAACCTAGTTTGGATCATCTTTTGCTGCTGGTTCAGTCAATATTGGCTGGTGAGTGACGAAACCTGCAGCTTCAGAATCTGTGAGCCTTCGGCTTTCAGCCTCGACGGCGTGTCTGATTCGTGGGGTCCACGCTTTGTGTTTACGTCTTTGTGTCACGGACCCGGCTCTGGAGGACTCGGGGGTCCGTGACCAGTTTTGACTGTTGTTATTGTTGTTAGTATTATTATTATTTGGTGATGTGTGTTTTCTCCACAATGCTGTGTTAGTCTGTGTCCCACTCGTATGTATAGGCAGGGTGTGGGTGTATACGTGTGTATGTCTGCGGGTGTGGCTGGAGGATGGAGCCCAGCCACCTGCAGGCCTGATGGGTGTGGCCCTGCGAAGGACTGGCCACACCTGAAGTTCCTGCCACACCTGTTGGTGATCAGGGCTCGTCGGGGGAGCTACTTAGGAGAGTGTTGGAGCTCCCACCGGCGCGGGATCATTAAGCTAAGACTCCAAGTCAGTGTGTAGCATTAGGAAGTGCGGATCGTGTGTGTGCGCGCGGGTTCAGTGTTTAACGGCTGCTTCTGTATTGTCCTGCAGGTGAAACGAGGGACCAGAAGGGCAGCACGCACAGGGTGTGCAGTAACACAACAGCGGGGAGCACGAGCACGAGCACAGACGTCGGAGGGAAGCACGCACATGGGGTTCGAGGGAGCAACGGGGAGTTATTGTGTTTACAGCTTTCCACTGTAAATAAAGAGCACTGTTTGCATCGCAGAGTCTGCGTTTTGGGTCCTCCTTTCCCCACATCCCCACGGTCTGCCAGTGAGACCGTGACAGAATGATCCTGCCAACCACCATGGACCCAGCAAACTCAGGAGTTGCCACGGAGGAGAGATCGCTCACGCAGCTATGGGATTACTGCCGGAGCGTAATCCAGGCTGTAGACCCACCCAAGAGACATATACAGGTAGTGTTCTTTGACAATTATCTCTCACCCACTACCTTCACCACGAACATTCTGGACATTAACAAACTTAGGCACCTGGTCGCTAGTTTAAGGGAGAGCTCGAGTTTTGAACTATTTGGCTTGGGTGGCCCGAGCACGGACAGTTCGGCTGCTCTCCTAGAGACTCTAGCCGCTTGGTTTTTCACGCGTCGGCGGAGGGCTTTCCCGTCGATGCTCGTGTTACGGGTCCCAGATGTGAAGACCACAATAACAAAAAGAATACAAATCTGTAAAAATAAAGGTAGAGTCTCAGAGAAAGAATCACAGGAGCACTCGTGTCTTTTCCCGAATTGCATCTCTTATTTCAGATCAACAAATATAATTTACATCCAGTGCTTTCACTTGTCAGATATGCTCAATAACTGTAAAAGGTAAATAAAAGGCATTTGGCAAATATATGCATCTATGGTCATTACATTTCTCCAGTTTACACTGTTAACCACACTATTCCTTCACTCATTTACATCAGCAGTGCAGATAGCATATAATGCCTTAAACGTCTTATTGCTCTTTCTCACATATAGGGCAAACTCAAAATAGCTTATCCACAAATCTGATATAAGTGCATAAATCTTACTAGATTAGACAAAACACACCTGGATGTATTACTTTGCAATGTAACAACATAAATGTACATTCATTCTTAGCTTATTCTTAACATTTCCACATCACTTGAACCATAAAGTATATATAACATATTTTAATCTCAAATAATCTGATGTCAGGGCCTTTACAGTTAAATTGGAGCACCACACACACATATTTGCTTGTTAAATGGAGTTTACCAAGTTTAAATACATCCCGCGGGCTGGCGAACTCTCGCGGTAACTCTCGCGATAACTCGCGGTAACTCTCGCGAGACTTGGGGCTGCGCGGCTCGGCTTTACCACCGCTGCGGTGCCGCGCTTCAGTAATTTTCAACTAAACCCCACTTAAGGTTACATCGGCGGTGTCAACATAACTCTCAGTAAACACCGAAGTAGAACAAGGCACAAAACCCTCATACACTGTATTTTTAAGACGATACTGACCTGTAAAAATAAAGGTAGAGTCTCAGAGAAAGAATCACAGGAGCACTCGTGTCTTTTCCCGAATTGCATCTGAGAGGACAGGAAGTTGGTCCGCTCTAGGCAACCGCGGGCGAACGACTACAGTGTCAACAGTTCCGCTTATTATTTCTCACTTTTACTCTCCTCAATTGTTATGGACTACACGTAATGAATGTAAAATAATAATTGTCTTAATTGCTGACATATGTTTTTCTTAAAAATAATAAAATTTCCCAAAATGTGGTAGCACATTTGTGTTCACCACACGCTCCCCAACAGCAAAAGTGGCTCCTGACACTTAACTTGAATTATAAAAAAAACCTTTAAACTAACAAAGTCTCTTCACAGAAGTCCCTGGAATATTCCTCTTGCCCAGGTGTCCTTAGACTTCAGGCATTCTTCTTCCTGAGATTTCTGTTCAATTCAATAGCAAGGAACAACATATGAAACAGGTAAGTAAGGGCTAAGGGTGAGGGGAGAGGGGTAGGGGGGTTGGGAGTAGAGAAGAGGGTAGTAGAGGGAAGGATATGGCGAAGGTTGGACGTTGATGGTGTTCACGCAGGATGAGCCTGATAGGCTGGTTGACCCAAGGATGAGTAGGTGAAGAATGTGGTGGGACGTCTCTGCCTGCTGGACTGCCTAAGATGAGATGGTGGCTCTGGATGGATGTCATCCCCTGGCTCCACCCTGGGTTCTGGCTCTGGGTCAGGAAGCTCTACTGGATCAGGACTGGACTCAGTGACGTCAACTTCTTCTTGAACCTGAGGCATCTCCTGATCGTCACTTAGTTGAGGTAGGTCTGGGTCTCTTAACACAATTAGATCCTCTTCCGGAACCATGGCACTTTTTTTTCTAGGTTGGACACGAGCCCTTAAGACTTGTCCTAGTTCACTTGGACCGGAGCTCCGTTGCGCACCACTTGGAACTGGTGTGACTGGAGAATGGCCCCCTCGAGGGTATCTGGGTACACCAAGCCAGTACAATGGCTCACCCTCTTCCGAGTCAGTTGTGTCAGGGTTCGGCTCTGGTGTCATTGGTCTTCCGGTGGACTTCTTGTTTCTCTTGTGTGGTCTTGTAGCCTGACTTTGGATAATGTCCACTGGCAAGTCATTCACTTGTAACAACAAGTTCCTGTGCAAGGTGCGAACAGGACGGCCTCCCGCCTCTGGACTCACTTTGTAGACGGGGTTGTCGCCCACTTGCTCCCTCACAATGTAGACCGTTTGCTCCCAGTAGGGTCTCAGTTTGCCAGGGCCCCCCTTTCACTCAGGTTTCGTACCAGTACTCGGTCTCCTGCCTGTAGCATTACTCCTTTGCATCTTTTGTCATAGTTTGCTTTGCCTTTGGAACTTGACTGTTGACTGTTTGCATTTGCAATGCGGTATGCTTCTGTCATCTTCCCTTTCCATCTTTCTGCATACCCATGTGGTGTCTCAGTGTTGTTTTCTGCCATGAGACCAAAGAGAAGGTCTACTGGAAGACGAGGGTGTCGACCATACAAGAGGTAGTACGGAGAGAAGCCAGTCGATTCATGCTTGGTACAGTTGTAAGCATGGATAACATGGGGTAGATGTTCCTTCCAATTTTGTTTCTCCTTTTCTCCCAGTGTACGCAGCATCTGTAACAGGGTGCGATTCAGTCTTTCAGTAGGGTTGCATTGGGGATGGTAGGGGGATGTCCTTGAGTGACCAACGCCTGCGAGTTCTCTTAGGGACTTGAATAACTGATTCTCGAACTCGCGACCCTGGTCGTGGTGGAGCTTGGAGGGGTAGCCGAATTTGGGAATGTAGTCATTGAAGAGGCGGTCTGCCGCGGTCTTTGCGGCCTTATTCTTGGTGGGATACGCTTGTGCGAACCTGGTAAAATGGTCTACAACAACCAGTATATATTCAAACCCACCTTTACAAGACTCTAAGTGCAGGAAGTCAATGCAAACAAGCTCAAGAGGGGAGCTGGATGTTATGCTACCCATGGGTGCTCTCTCGTGTGTCGTTGGCTTCTTCTGCTTGATGCACTGACACTTCCTTGTGACGTACTCTTCAATTTCTCTCTTCATGAAAGGCCAATAGAACCGCTCTCGAGCCAGGTTCAAGACTTTCTCCACGCCGACATGGCCCATGTTGTTGTGGAGGTGTGTGAGAGCTACCTGTCTGTAGAGAGTAGGTAGGACCAGCTGCTTGCGTCCTGTAGTCTTTCTATAGAGAAGGTCATTCTCCATGTGCAGCCGACTCCACTCTCTCAACAGTCTCTTTGTGTTAGTGTCAGCCTTGTCATCTTCTGTTGGTCTTATGTCCTTCTCTACCATGTCAATGACTTTTCCGATTGCTGGATCTGCTCTCTGCGATTGTACAAGTTGGTCATGACTGATTGACTGTAGGGGTTCTTTGTTGGTCAGGTTTGGTGCGGTGAGGTTAAGGGCTGCAATCCATGCTACGTCTCCTTGCTTCGCTCTTCTGCTCCCTTCCCAAACGGCACATACGGCTTCCCCCGACAGTTCCTCTGAGCACTCTCCCATGAACCTCTCAATGTCAAGTGGGCAACGTGACAGCACATCTGCATCAATGTTTACTTTTCCCGGCCGATATTTGATGTCGAAGTGGAAATCTGCCAATTGTCCGACCCAACGGTGTCCAACTGCATTGAGCTTTGCTGTGCTGAGGACATATGTCAAGGGATTGTTATCTGTAAAAATGGTGAAATGTGGAGCATAGTAGAGGTAATCCTTAAACTTGTCACAAACTGCCCACTTGAGGGCGAGAAACTCTAGTTTTCCGCTGTGCAAGTGGTAGTTTTGTTCAGCAGGTGTGAGCGTGCGAGACCCATACCCAATCACTCTCATCTTGCCTTGTTGGTTCTGATATAGGACGGCACCAAGGCCCCTCTGGGATGCGTCCGTGTGCAATATAAAAGGGCGGGTGAAATCAGGGTACGCTAACACTGGTGGCTGAGTGAGCATGCCGATCAAGCGCTCAAGGATCTCTTGGTGTTCTTTGTTCCACTGTATCAGGGCTCGAGAAGGCTGCTGAGTGTGTTTTGCTCTGCCTCTAGTTGGCTTTGGTGGCAGTGTGTTGGACGGGACTTGGAGCAAGTCATACAACGGTTTGGCTATGCGGGAGAAGTCCTGCACATACGTCCGATAGTAGCTTAGGAATCCCAAAAGCTGCCTGACTTCTCCGACGGTCTGTGGCCTTTTGTGTTTGAGTGCCTGTACTGCCTCGGTATCTTTGGGGTCCACCTTTACTCCATCTGCAGATACCAATCGGCCGACATAGCGAACCTCTTTACGGAACAGCTCACACTTCTCGGGTTTTAGCTTTACACCATGCCGTTGTAGGGCTTGGAGGACTTTCTGTAGCACTTGGACATGTTCGTCAAACGACTTGGAAAAACAAAGCACGTCGTCAAGGTAAGGGATACAGCACTCGTCTCTGAGGGTGTCAAGCATTTCTTCCATGCTCCGTTGGAAGGCTGCTGGGGCATTAGACAGTCCAAAGGGTATCCTCACCCATTCATAGAGGCCCCACGGGGTAGTGAATGCCGTCAGGTACCTTGAGCCTTCTGCGATGAAACCTTGATGATAAGCTTTACCCTGATCCAGGATCGAGAACCAGCTGTAACCACCTAGCGAGTCTGTGAGATCCTGGATCCGGGGGAGTGGGTGTCTGTCTGGCACAGTCTTGTTGTTTAAGAGACGATAATCGATGCACAAACGTAAAGAC